GTCACCTTTTCGCGGACGTTTCCGGTTTCACTTAGTTCACTGGCCGAAGTATTCCGCGACATGTGTAACTCTAAACATCAAAGGCTCGCGATTATTTAATAAAAATTGAGAGCAACATTTCATATCGATGGTGTTGAATGACGTTTCTTCATTAACCGATTTTAATATTCGCGTACCACTTTCACGATGAACGTTACAGTTCTGATTTTTTTTTTAAGTAGGAAAAAAGTGTTTTGTTATTTTTGCGTATAAGAAGAAATAAATATAAAATGAAGAAAACTGTCGGAGTAAACTATAAGTGACAAAAGCTCATTGCGTTTCCCTCTCGGGCGTTAGGCGTGATGCCTGTGGCGATCGCATAGGTGGCCGAATGTGCTAGCGCAGCACGCCTCGGAGCACGTGGAGTTAAATGCCATGAAGCAGGACCCAAGCGATCATTCCTCACAGCAGACTCTGCACCGGCCGTTTCGCTACATGAACGAACATCGTACCGCGTGCGAGCTCTGCGCGACTTACGCCACATATACCCCATGTTAGCAGTCGTAATGCACTGGCTAAATTGTTCATCTGCCGCGATGAACCAGTTTCGCCACCTGCCAAAGCCACGCATAGTTCTCACTGGATGAGATGAGCGTGCACAACGTCCAGCTTCTCTGGGCTGCTTTTATGCGGTATGAAAAACCCCAGAAATCTCTTTCAAAACCATCGTTGTTTTCTAACACGCGATACATATTACAAAAAAATGTTACCGTAACTTTTATACCGTAGATTCTGATTACCGCTTTAAAGTAAAAATTCGCATTTTTTAAAAGTATATTTATACAAGCATGGTATCGAGCACAATGATATTGAGTGCGAGCGTGTATAAATCTATACGGAGCACAACTTCGTCTGCTTCGTTTGCAGGGGTTGTGGTGACGTCAGAATGCCGCGCTCTGATTGGCCCTGATTGGAAGGACAGAGGGGAGACCTCAAGGTTGCTAGCCATTCAACTGGCAATAAGGCCTGCCCACTATACCTCCCATCAGGGTCGCATAGCTAACCGGCAATCGCAACTGTGTGCCCGGACAACTAACTAACGTTTTGGAGAGGATAACACCCTTTACGGTCCACCATTTTCCAGATACAGTGTGCAAGTACGCCTCCAGCTTGTGCACCTCCTCGTGCTTTCGCTTGTCTTTCGTGTCAACCAATGACGGTGCTTATTCGGCTACTTCGTCCCCGCGCGTACTCCGCACGTTCTTAACGTTGCCTGGTGATTCGAAGGAGCCTTTTTTTTTATTTTTATTAGGCCTATGTTTTAGAGTTTGTTCTTGCGTTCCCATGCAGACGGCGCTACTTTTCTGCTAGTGAAAGAAAGCACGCGCGATTGACAAATGGTTGATAAAATTACAGCCATGTACAAGTTTAGCCTTCATGGACAGAGCACTCGTGATTAGCCCTCCAACTTCCCGAAAGTACTTTTTTTTTTCTTTTTGACATCTCCTTTTATTTTTGCCTTTCTTAAAGCTGCAGCATAAGCTTTTGTTAGGCTAAGCCCACAAGAAATGTTAGTATAAGAATGAAAAAAAATAAAAGTATTGAATTAAATTTTGGATTCCCCCGAATCCCCCTTTTGCATGACTTGAAGTTAGAAGACGCCATTAGGGCCAAGAGAAGTCAGAGCCATCGGCGTGTCAACTCCTACGTCATTTTCTGAATTCGTTTTAAGCGTCAGCAAAACAGCTTTGTAATGCAGATTTGGGAGGATAGTTTGTCTTTCTCTTCAGTCATTTTATCTGGGACGATCTTATACAGGGTAAAATCCAAGATCTCATTGACCTTTTAAAGGCGATCGTCAGGTTATGTTGCCTGCAAACAGGATCAACACTCGAAGGCGCCCTACGTATAGCAACTGCGCATCTGAAATGCGCCGTTCCACGTTGCTATAAAAGCCGGCTCGAGGGCAACACTGAACTTCGGCTCTGGCATTCGTTCTGGAATTCTCCCCGACACAGGCCTGGCAGAAAGCCATCGGAGTATTTTTGGCCCAGCCGTCGCCAGCAGAAATAAAAATAAAATAAAGCCCGTCAAAACCGTTTCGCGCCGACAGATATCGTGTCTGAACGCCTAAAACATATTTTATGCAAGTATTTCTTTTAAGAATGAAAATAAACTCACTACGCTTATATTGGATGCATATTTTACAGGAATTATGAATTCACAAATGTTTCATACGGGAAATTAGACGCACAACAATCCCGCTGCTTTTCCCCCCACTGCTTTTTGTTTGTTTGTTTTTAATAAAAATACCAGATGACATTACAGTAGAGGGCATGGAAACTCGCTTTTTTGTGGACTGGCTTTTTATTTGGTAACTATTCGAATCGAAGAGAAAATTGCGAGTCAGTGCTACCACTCAGCAACTAAGACTTTATCGTGATTCATTAGTTTTCGCGTACGTCTGGCCGATGCTAGCCTCTGACGTATGTATAGTCTTCGTGATAAGGATATAAATGGCTGTGTCGTCAAAACAATGGAAGGGTCCGCATTCTTCGTCTGGTTGTATTTAGTTCAGTGAAAACTCACTGCACTTTTATATATTGCGAGTGATGTGAGGCCTTTTGGCAAACATTTTATTCTAAGGAAAAGAAATCGAGTGACGTGGTCAAGCACTATTGTTGCCTTTTTTGTGGAGACTATCGCGGTTCAAATACATGTTTTGGTAGTATATATGATAGCGGCGAGAATGCAACACAAACATAAAACGGTTGTTTATAATAGCGGTAGTTCCATTTCGTTCCGATATATTTGCTCCGCGTTGGCTCCCAGCAGTTCGTTGTCGCACCGCGATCCATTATGGGGCTATGAGCCTATGATGCGCGCAAAAACGACAATGATGCAAAAAGAGAAACATCTATTCCCCCGAAATGTTTTTATGTCTCTCACCCCCCCCCCCCTTTTTTTTTTAGTTGAAGTGTTGCATTGTTTTTGTATTAGTTATAAATAGTTCAGTGTTATCTTATTTGGGCTATTCACGGTACAAATAAAATTTTCTGTGGTGTTCATACACCCGTTTTAGCCTCTTAAATTTCGGGAAAGTTGGACAACTAAAACAAATAAATATAGGTTATGCACTTATGTTTACACCGCAGAAAAAAAAGGCCGTGTGCTGACTGTATTGTTCCAACGCGTAACGTACTATCCGCGCCTCCAACATTGTTCCCTCATTCGCTGTCTGACATTTTTGGCCGCCAGGCCGCCCCAGTCTTCGCGGCACACTTGCATAGCACTGGATCCCCGCTTCTCTCCATCGCCTTCTCTATAGCTGCAGTCTCCTTCTCTACAGTTACGATAGGCATATAGTTTTTGTCTCATTCAACAGTGACAAACTACAAACACTGATGGCAGACATGTTGGCAACTATGCGTATACGAGCGTCACTCACTTTCTACCTATAAACGTGCTTGTGAGCAAGAATCTTTGCCATCGATTGCTCGTGCCAAAGAAGAAGAAAAAAAGTTGATTCTGTTCTGTGGTGGACAGATGTTTGCCGTTATTTTTACTAATTTTTTTTACGCTAATGGGTGTGTTTAAGCAGGTATATTTTGCCGATTTACGCTAATGAACACGATCCCTACTCGTCTCTGTGTATTCATGCCGGCTTTTGAATCAAGGAGAGTAGGAATTCTTTACGTCTTTGCAACGTAGAGTGCCTCTATTCCAGCGCTTATCACCCATACGGAAATCGTCCACAGCTCAATACGCGAAAGTCACAACCATTTTGACCCACTTGGGCCATCCCTATTTTAGCTCCCAACTTCTAAAGTCTAGACCATCTGCCACTAATTCCAGACTGGCCCACTTCCAACTACCTACGACTAAGCCACATCAAAAATGCCACTGTGCGCTTCAGCAGCAAAAAAAGAAAGAGATGGACGCGCCACACTATTTTGTTTTCCGGCACCATCTGTGTCGGTGGCCACACATCTTCAGATTCTGGAGGTCACCCTCACGCCCACTTTGGGTTTTTCCCTGTACATCTCCAACATCGTCGTGAAGGCACGCAGAACCCTCGGGTTTATCACAAGGGTATCGCTTTTCTGTGGTCCTGAGGCCTTTCGTGCCCTCTGTACTGTGCATCCATCTGGAGCCCGTACTGTGCATTCATCTGGAGCCCCACCAAGTCCACCTTTCTCAACGTCTGGAGGGAGTCCAAGCGTCGCGCAACATGGACTCTTTTGTAACGTACGCATCAGACGCTTGACATCCCCCTGTCTTACGAGGATCGACTGAGGCGTCTTAGTTGGCAATCACTGGACCACCGGCGGGTTGATGCGTGCGTGAGACTCTTTTGCCGCCTCCAATGCGTTGCTGCAGAACACTTGACTAAACTCTATCCTGCGCATCAGCACGCGTTCCGGACAGCCCGAGCAGCTCCGGGCGCGCACACTCCGCCACCGCCGCTCGTTTCTCCCAGACGCGATTGAGGCCTTTCTCTCAGAGCCCATGGATGTACGCTCTCCCATTCAGGAAGACCGAGCGGACACAGTGCTTGTGTGCCGGGCGTTTTCCCGAGCTCGGGCCTTGTGCATGTGACCGAGTGTGTGGTCTGTTTTAGATTGCTATGTATAGTGTCTCATTTGTTATTGGTTGGTGTTCTCGTTTTTTGGGGGGAGGGGCGGGGGGGGGGGGGGGGGTGCAGACGCACTCGAGTACGGGCTTCCGTCTTTCTGTTTCGCCTCGCACGCCCCATAGGATAACACTTCAACTGTGAAAAACAGGATTATAATTATGATTATGATTAGGGTCTCATATTTCATATGAGGGAGTTACTATGCATGTATATACCACGTTCCACAGCCCAGATGGCAGCGTGCAGAGTAACAACGATTGGAATGGTCTATTATAGCGTTCGAAATTTTGGTACATCGTGATTAAACGATAGAAGTGTTGCGGTGTGTGCAGGTTTGCACGGACTGGCAATAATGTGAGTTGGGATTAAAACACAGTGTACTTACTCTGAACTTGCTCTTTTGTTAGGTCATCCTGAAAGAGAGAGAGAGAGAATGTTATGGCTAAATCAACAGAGAGAATATGATACACTCGCAAATCTTTGAGGTGACAAAAATGCGGCGACAGGAAACGTGCCTGTTTATTCTAGTTTAAGACGAGAAACGTAAGGTGTTGCGATAGATCACGTGACCATGCCCAAGCATAGAAGCATGTCCCCGGCGATTGTGAGAAGAAAAAACGTCCACGCTACTACTGACGTTGATGGGTCTTGGTATCTATACCATCAGTCAATTCATTGAAAATTGCGATAACCAATCATTTTTGTTAAATCCATGGCCGCTCATGTATTTACTGCATTTTTTTTTTTACTAGACTCGTTTATATCCTAATAATTTGTTGTCGTTGTTGTTTTGCCCCTCCCTTCCGTAATGTAATGCCTCCGGACCCTGAGAGTATTGAAATAAATAAATATAAAAAAAAAACAAGGTTTAGTGTTTTATGAAAGAACGTGAGTTCGTGCGTCGCCGTGTTATGTTATCCTTGCATTCGATCTCGGCATGTGCACTGTCGTTGTATCACATCTTTGTTTATTATATATTCAAAGGTTTTTGTTGTTGTTTTCTTTCTTGCAACCCTGTGTTGCGGGAAAAAAACAACAACAACAGTGTTAAGAGCTGTAACATCTCTGTTACAGCTTTTAACACTGAGCCATCAGTACATCTGAACAAAACTAAAACGGGTATTTTATTCACAATAACGCAGTACCAGATGCCCAAACTAAGAACGCCTCAACATTGTGGAAAACCGAGACAGTGGATCACAAACAACTAAGACAAAACACACACACACACAAAAAAAAAAAAGAGTCTCGAATTTGAGTTTTTTTTAAACTCGACTCTAACTTCAATGCTCCGAAGTTTTCAAGTCTTAAAGGGATACTACAACGAAATTTCGGTGCTCATTTTTTTGGTCGATATGTGTTCAAAAGAGCAGTATCACATGGAACATACCAATATCTTGTTTCAAAAGTCTCGGAAAGTAATTTTAAAACGAATTAAACGATTAGCAAAGAGCACCTGGTGGATGTCGCTAACGCCTCGTTTGTAATGCTCGTATAGGAACCTTGACGGAGGTTGTCTCGTCTTCGGCCACGACGAGAGAAGGGGAGAAGGAGGAACTCCCCTCTTCCCGAGAATCCCTTTTGTGTGTCGCAGAAGTCGCTATTGTCCCCCTAAAAGATTATAGAAGATTAACCCGTCACCCAAAATTCGTACAAAAGCAGCCGCTTCGGTGGCTGGAACGACTAGGCCATCCTCTCTACGTCAGCCTCGCCGTAGCTTTGCTCGTCTTGAGACGACCTACGTCACGATTGCGTTGGATGTCACGTGCTCTAAGCTGGGCCTTCTCCGAGCGCTTGCCAGAGTGGGCCGTTTATAACGAAAAATACAGCCACCAGGATCAAAATACAAACGTGCGATTGTCATTTACGGATATTGTGGATCATATTCAACCCATTTTTGAACACGACGGGAATATTTCAAATTTCGTTGAAGTATCCCTTTAAGTCATACGTAAGGGGATCACTTGTGTATAAGAACACAATTCGTTTTGGCAACACGCAGTGGACAATTTCGAATTAGTTGCCGGTTGCTTATTTATACGATCACCGAATATGTAGTAACCATGTAGCAATTTTGGCTCCTGCTGTCACTGGGTATGAGCAGAAGGTCGTTTCGGTGCAATATAGGCTCCAGCGTTTAAGCCTTGTGACATGGGAATTGTCATCACAACGGGGCTGCTGCTGCGTATATAGTTTATGATTGTGTGTACGTTGGCTTGTTTGATCACAGTTTTGCAACCATTGTGCGAAGAAAGCCGGATTACAATAAACTCGCTTGTGCACGCTTCGTTATGCAGGGGGTGTCCAAAAAAGAACAAAGGAATACCCTGTAAGACTTGATCACATTTTTTTCAAGCGAGTACCGAAGGTCCGCGAACCTTCAAGTGGTAATATAATATATATGCACATAAAACGATATGAAATGAAAATATATTTAATTGAAAACTATACACGATCACTTATCAGAACTACAAACAATAAAACTGTTTTAAGAAAACAGTGTGTCCGATATTTTTTTTTTTTTTGGCATTCAGTGACATGCATAAAAAGGAGAAACCAACACCCCCTCCCTCTAAACGTAATATTGCGTTCCTATTGGTCAATATTTGAACGAGTGACTCAACACTCATTCTGATATATTATTTTGATATAAACTTAAGAACGCGGAGTTATAACTGATACCACTTAAATTGAACAAGGCCACTGGTTGTTGAAAACTTGATGCGGCAACGTATAAACAACCTATCATCAATCCTATTAATTAATTCAATCAATTATAAGTAAATTTATAGATTCTCAATTGATCTCATTACGAAAGAACGGCCAATAATATTCTTTGAGGTCAAAATCAACAGAAAAATTGAGTGTGAGTGTTGTTTTGTTTTTTTGTTTTTTTTTACTGTATAGAATAGTTTTAACTTGTGGTGACTAATTATCGTGCAGTAACAGTCCTCCAATTTGAAGGAACTCTGTGTAGAGATTGCATTTCTTTTATAGCCACTGCAATCAATGGCTATAGTTTAATTATTACGCACTGCAATCCATGAGCTTTTTCACCTATATACGTTTGTAATTGCAATTAACGTATGCATTTAGGGTTTTTCTTTCGGTTCGTGCACTAGCGAATGTGCACCATTGTACTATCTGACTTATGTGAGGGTAGTCAGTATCAATCTTAAAACTTCCTGCGGTGTTGTGACTGCCACCGTGGGGTTATTAACGTGCGCACGCGCAGAACCATATACTTTAGGCACCACAAGGATTGCTCGATGAACATGGACGTAGTAGGCCCGCGGGAAGTACCAAATAAATAGACTTTCTTTCAAGTGTGCGGAAGCGAAATAAACCAGTGCACGTTACCATTTCGAATCTCGAAGGGTCTACGGCGGCGGCTTTCCTTGCAGTAACGGCCTGGGGCAAGACGATCGAACGCACAGGAGGAAAAAGCTCCGGGACGTTCCTACGAGATTCTGGTTCCAACTGAGGGCCTCCCCGTGGACGGCACACCGATCCGCGCCCGACCCGCGGCCCGGGGCCCCAGAGCTCTCCATTTTTGGACGGACCCTACGCTCACGTCACGGGCGCCCGCCCAGTCCGTGACGTCAAAACAAAAGCCGCGGTGGCGCGCGCGCGTGCGGTGGTTGCCAACTGATGGCTTGAAAGCGAGGAAAGGCTCGTAGACTCGTGTGGCCAATCTCTGTGGGGGAGGCGTCGCTCTTCACGTCCGCTCACGACGCGGGCGAATGGAGGGGAGGCATCCATAGGAGTCCCAAAACGCGGGTTTGCTCAAGTTACGGAAGAGAAGAACTTGTTGACCCTTGAGGAACTCGCTCCGAACTCCAAACCCATTGGCTAGACACTTACTTGCGAACCTGGCGCATCAAATCGAGAAGGAACCAATCACGTGCAGCGAATCCTTCTGCCCCTTTATGTTCTATCCAATCGAGGTTTCGATGCGCTAGGGTAGCATCCTTGCAAACGCAGCCAGCCATTCATTCGCGAGAATGGGTATGTAAAACCGTTGAATCATAGGGAGTGAAATGCGCACATAAGTGCGGCATCTGTTCATGCAGCAGATGACAGGGGTCGGAGAGCTTTACCATTAGGATCTAAAACCAGAAAGCTTGGGTTTAGAGCCGTCCGTTTAAAATACGTAATATCTGCTTCTTACATATTTGCGCGAGTGCGATATTTTCGTTTTCTTTAGACTCTAGAGTGTTCGGACTCGGTTAGACGTCATACGTGCTCTTCAACACCCTGAAGAACGCATACTGCAGAACTCGCACAAAACGGTGCAGTCGCGGACGATATGAGAAGGCACAGGCGAGCGTGTGGCTTCGAAAACCTCAAGCGTTATCCAACGGAAGAGAGTCGAGTTGTCATCGAGGTTACTGTGTGAACGACTGGCATTTCAGCGGCTGTTAGACTTCTGCCGTTTTTTCCCTCGCGGTAGGCAAACGATCGCTGAGTCAACACCGATAGTAGTAGTGTTCGATTAAATAAAATGAAAACCGCTTATCGTCATTTATACCGCGAGCTTATTAGTTAACAAACGCCCGAAAACTTATCACTCAACCAGCCGACCCGGTGGATTCAGCTCGCCCAATTTTTCCTTTTTGTCGCGGAACGCCCCTACATCCTGCAAAATCAGCACTAACTCGGTGGTAGCTTCTCAAACGGGGAGTGACGACAAAAACTGGACAGCCACTGAAGCGTCGAGAATGGCGCTTTGGCAGTTTAGTTTAGTGCCTTGGGTCTTTTTCATCCGTATCTCCTCGTGCTCGTCCGTCCGACAATGCGCTGCGTCAGCACACGGCCGCGACTCGTCCCGCACTGGCCTCCCCTGGGTGACGTAGAAAATCTAGCCTCGAGGCCTTGTTTCTTGTGGATGTTGATTTGTCGTTACTGGCCTTTAACCACCCGACATCGCTCTCGCGTGTGGGGCGGAGCGAGAACGTGATCACGTGACGAAAGATCGACGCATGATTGGTCCAACGAGCCCGTACCTTTCATCGCACTGTCAGCTTCGGAACCCCCATCCAGTACCGGGGTTGCCAATGACGTCACACCGCGTCTGCTCACGCGGCCTCACTCCTCTCCGTCGTCCTCCTCCCCCGCGCCATCATGGCGTTCTCCGCGAGTGTAACCTGAACGCGAAGGGTCCGAACCCGGGTCGGCAGCGGTCGGAGTCCTCCCCGCGGTTTAAACTGGGCCTCTCGCTGTCTCGACCCGGCGGTCTTGGAAGGGGCTGTGGATAAAATGGGCCACGCCCGGCCGTTGTCGAACCCCGGAGCGGCCGGAGGGACTCTAATTTTAGAGCGGATGTGTCGCACACCCCGGCGCGCAAGCGCGCGTGTGTTCCCGGCGCAGCAGAAGGCCGTCAGATGAACAGCGAAAGGTTCGTTCACGGCTGAGGTTTCTCGGTCACTGATACGGCCAACCCCCGGCACGTCTTTCTGCCCGACATGCTGCGTGGTGACGCTCTGGAGTTGTTTACGTCTGTTTCGGAGGCGTCGGAACTGCTCAAAAGATGGAAAAAAAAATTATTTTCGACTCCCCCGTATTGTTTAGATTAATTTGTTCAAGCTCTCTGTCCCAGCGCCACTGCGTTTGTTTCTTCTCTCATCAACAACGGGGAGCTGTATAACTTCTTAGCCCTGTCGGGTGGCATACCACCTGCCATGGGATTGCAAGTGACTCCACTACATGTCTTTCGGTGTTCACTCAAAGAATAAGAAACATTACATTTAAGCCAAGTCACACGGCTCACACATCATGCGAAAGACACGGTGTTTGCCTCAAACATGATGACAGAAGTATTTGCGGAAACGCCTCGGAAAGGTATGCAGGCGAGCTGTTTCTAGGAAACACCATAATCTAAACTTCGAGACAAGTACAGAAATGAATGAACGGAGAAGTCGTCCTCTCCGTTATAATATTTTAGAGCGCAGCTCTTAGGGGGCCCGTTTGCGGCTTCAGCGGCGTCGGCGTAACCGCGAGCCCCCTTCCCCCCCCCCCCCCCCCCAAAGGACCTCGGGTACCTTCGGTGACCTCGGAGGGGGGTGTCACGTGACCCCCCCTCCCCGAGGTCACGTCACCCCCCCCCCCCCCCCCCCCCGAGGTCAAGTGAACCCTCTCACCGAGGCCACGTGACCTCCCTCCCCGAAGTCACGTGACCCCCCCCCCCCCCCCCGAGGTACCCTTCCCTCCTCCTCCTCAAGAGCTGTGCTCTAATTCGGCGTTACAGGGAGTTGTAAAAGGCTTTCACTTTTTTTTTTATGCTTGTCTCGATGCTTAGATTAAGAAGTTCGAAGCATATATGTTTGCTTCACACATATGCGTGCTTCGAACGCGTCCGCAGGCAGTATTTGCGTGGCCGATTTGCCGGGACCGTCGTACGATTGAAAGAAGCACACCTCAGGAAGTGTCTGCGGACGGTCTTCTCTATGACCCATTACATAGGCAGAAAGTTTCCCAATTTCCCAAGTGGAAAGGGGGGGAAAATTCAAGCCCCCCAGCATTGCACTTGAACTCAGAGATCGCCCTTATTTTCCATCCCTATCTGTCCATTTGTTTCCTGAAGAAACAACAATATAATAATACAAATAATACAAATATAATAATAACAATACAAATAACAACCTCGGATTTCTGAACGGTCCGTGTGGGCATCTTCGCACAGGAGGAAAATGTATTTTAGAAAACTAATTTAATGTATATAAAGAATTAAGGACAAACGCTCCGCAAAAGCTACCAAATGAAAGCTTTCGCGTAGTTTTCAAATATAAAGTAACCCCTGCAGAAGCTAGTATTTCTAGTATACTTGTGCCTTCTGGTCTCTCCTGAATATGTAAATACAATTGTAAAAAATTAAAGACGTCTACAAATCTCCGTAACGCGAAACTAGAGCGCAGCTCTGGGAGAGGAGGAGGGGAGAGTACGACGGGGAGGGTACGCCCCTCCTCCTCCTCCTCCTCCGTACCCACTCCTCCTCCTCTTCTTCTCGTCCTCCCCTCCTTTCCTCTTCCTTCCCATCTTCATCCTTTTCCTCTCCCCTACTCCCTTATTCCTTTTCATCCTCTCCCATCCTCCTCCTCCCCTCCTCCTACGCACGTGACGTCAATTTTCCTGCTAAATATAGCGGAGAAACTGAATTTGTTCATAAGTGAAGTGACACGAAGTCATGTGACGTCATTTTTAGCGGTGAAACTGAATTGGTGTTGAGGTCACGTAACGCCAATTTTCCCGCTAAATTAAGCTCGGTTACGCGGACGCCGCGAAACCCGGAAACAAAGCCCTAAAAGCTGCGCCCTTAAAAAAAAAAAAAAAAAAAAAATATATATATATATATATATATATTGTTGATGAATTTAAAAAAGATATATACTATTTAATTTAAATAATATTTATTTGATTTAAAACAGATATAAATCACAATAATTGATTTAAACCACTGTAGCTAGAAGAGGAAGTTATTCTTTATTGCCAGTTTTTTTTTTATGTGTATTTTGCAAATTGCCCTGCGATTGTGTTGTTACGTGAAACGTTCTTGCTTTAGCGTTCTTAACATTCGGGCATTTCTTCTCGAGCTTTGCCCCTCCAGGGTCTATAAACTCGCCAGACACAAAGTCGGGGCCGGAGTTGACGGAGCGCACCGATTGGCTTATCACGACGATGACTTCGCGCTTTTCTTTTTTTTTTTTTTTTTGCCGACGTCCAATGGGCGCGCTCCGCGAACTCTCGGCTCCAACTTTGTGTCTGACGAGTTTAGAACCCCACGACTTTTCACGCCATTCACTCATTGACCTATTGGCTTTCCCCGTCGGGTCGGCCATGTGTTTACAGAGTATGGCGAACGACGGGCTGCGGCCGGTCACGTGGAAATTTTCCAGCTAAATTTAGCGGGGAAAGTGAATTTGTTTGTAGGTCATGAAACATGAAGCAATGTGATATCATTTTCCACGCTAAAGTTAGCGAAAAAATTCGCGGTTACGCTGTTGGGGCTTCATTATGGCCAGCTTTCTGAGACACACTGTTTTAGTTCCCGATCCTCACGACACGTGGCGTACCAACCTTGAGCAAAATAAAGCCTCTCGATCTGTTTCCGTTTTTTCGCAAGTAGCGTCAAATGCGCCAGTGCACGAGGCCCGTGACTCAAGCGGCCCTTGGAAGCAAATGGCGGCGGCGCACCCGCTCGTGGCTCGTGTCTTTCGCGTTTCCACAACAATGGTTGGCGCTACTCGTAAATGTGAGTTTTATCGAGGGACTTCAGAGCAAGATAGAGTGCCTTCATACACAGACAGACATGTAGCCACCCTAGAGCAAGATAAACGTAGAATTCGAAGCGCGCGACCGCCTATCTGAACCTCCTCTCCTGTGCATCTCTCCGGCCTCCCACCCTTTTCACCGTTTGCATCTGGCCAAATACTTTACTATAGGGAGAATACATTCCACTCCGCTTATTTCGTGACTTACCGAAATAGGGCACTTTGTCTTTCGTGAGATGTAGTCTTCAAAAATGTGCCTTTATATGTATTACCTAGTGTTATATTTTGTGTACTGTTGCACTCCTGTAACAGCCCCTGCGGGCTAACAGTATAAAT